AGCACACAAAAGAACGTCACAGAAAGTGGGGAGGGGAAAGGGTCTACCCAGTCATGGATGACATCTTTTTTTGTTCATGGAATGTTTGAATACAGTTCTAAAACGAGTTATGTAACCCATTTCTGGCCAGTTGTGTATCGTTGTATATGAATGTGCACGTTGTAGAAATCGGGCCAACAATTTTCTTGTTTTTGCTAAAGTTTATATCAAGATAATAAGGGAGAAAGTGTATTGGCATGAAAGTTGACACAAAACAGATAAGAAACACAACGACTTCTAAATCATGACCATTATTTGAACAATTGATGAAGATATAGATGTTTTGGGGGTATGTTTTAGTAGGGTATCTCCATGCCGGACATACTGGTCAAAGTATTCTGAACTAGCGCCATGTAATAAATTCAAAAGATATGTGAGGGAACTCAGGGAACTAAAGCTGACAGCGGCACAAACAGGGATCAAATGAGAGTGAAGACGGAGTATTCATGCAACTAAACCCCTGCAAGAGGGTAATGGTTAATGGAATACATGAAATAATGATTTCGAACCGATATGGTGGACCATCAGGGGGTGTTTCACAAAGATACTAAGTTGAACTTATCTCTAAGTTGGACTTAATTGTGGAAAACCATTAGCATCTATGAAAATATTTTGTAAAAGTAATTTTAAAAGGCATAAAATGTTGATTCAAATCATTCATATTTTCTATTATAAAAGAGATTTCAGGTTCTTGATGTGGAATTTATCAAAAGTCGACAATACTTGATTTTTTTGCTTTTCTACAAATGGCTCTCCGTAATGTTTAAAGTCAAACTTAGAGTTAAGTTCGACTTAGGATCATTGTGAAACACACCCCCCCCCCCCCCCCCCCCTCCCCCCGTATAATGTTGTGTAGGCTGTTGCAGCGGCTTAAGGGACTCCACCCATCCCTCCAACAATTATTTAGGGGGCATTTTCTTAATGGGAGTTGGGAGGGGAACCGGTCTCCCCCGGAAAAAGATACGCTAATCTACATCTGCAAGGCCTCTGCAGTCTGATTAATTGAAGGATGTGCTGGGCAGGTGGTCTCTGTAAACTCCCCAACTCACATCTGCAATATCTATACAGTATTTCCCTGTGTTCCCTATGTTCCCTATGGCACAAAGGTATATTAGATAGTACGAATAGGAGAGAACGATTCAAGATCTGATCTGTTCAAGCCGGTCGATATTTTTCATTCTCATGCATGCATGTGAAATAAGGAAGTCCACAAAGTGAACGAATCAAACAATAGGGGGAGGGGAGAGCAGAGGGCGACGACTCTTTCTGAAGGACATTTAGACATGCACAAACAATGGGATCGTGAAAACGTACATAGACATTGATTCGATACTTGTTCTCCTTTAGCTCAATATCCAACTCTGCCAATCAATCGCAAACTCAGATGGGTAACCTTGATAGCAATCTAGTCTAGAGGAAAGCAGAAACAATCAGAGATTGAAGTAGACTGGTGAAAGTTTGAATGAAATAGGAAATAAAATAAGAAAGTTGAGATTTTTGTTATGGTTGTAATCACTCTCTATATAGTATGGGCTCTTCAAATTGGCTGAATCGGGAATGTCTCTGTGATGTAATGGCGGACAACTATCCCATTTGTTCCAACACAAAAACTGACTAAAATCTAATTTTTCAAAAATGTATGGCTCAGGAGGGTCTATTCTCTTTCGAGAACCTATAGTCATTTGCTATCCATGATACATTTTCAGCAGAGCCCTGATGGAGAAGTCACTTAGGAGAAGAAAAAACAGAAAACAATTATACTTTTGTACACGACAAACGGGAGAGTTATCGGCGACTAGGTCACAATCCTCTGACGAAACTGCCGATTTGAGATTCGCATAAAAATTATTGTGATCTCATATTTAAAACATTCATTACTTTCTTATCATTGGTACGATATGTTTCACACTTTCGTCATTATGTTTATCTTATTTTACTTCTTTCATAATATACAAGGGAACTTAGTTACAATGTTTTTTTAAGTCGCCATTCGATTTGTTTCAGTGGAAACTGTTTATATTAAGACCTGATTGCAACATTTCAATAAAAGTGAATTGAATGGAATGAGAAAATATCACTTTAATAATCAATTTGAGATACAAATTACAAGTATATATATTTCTCACCTTTTTTCACCCATCTTTATTTTTCATTTTTCATTTCAAAGTTACATCTATGTTATAATTGCATAATGGCGTTCTCCCAAAAAGGCATTATTATTTATTTATTTACTTATTTATTGTGGTATAAAAGAACATTATACATGGCAGCCTTTCAGCTGAATTGAGTGCAATTTACATAAGTAATAACACAAGGATACTGCACAAAATACGATAGTATTAAAAAGTCATTAAAAATAGTACATTCATAACAAACAATTATAGGTAAACCTCAGATCAACGAATATTGATGGTAGGATAACGGAAGCGGGTAATGGATGTGGAAAAATAAATGTTTTATGGTATGACTTAAGCAAATTCATAGGAAGAATATAACAGTTGAATAAATTATGATCAGTGCTAAGAAAAATAATCTGTTTTGCATGCTTCAAGGTAGGCCTATTGTCATATGGGTGTAAGGTACATGACTTGTATATGGAGAACAAAATGGACATATACTTCCCCTAAGACGAAAGGAGAGTGAAATTATAGTTTCACTTCCTGTTATTGGGTAAAAGAGAATGTGATTGGTAATGCAATATTGAAATTAACATAATCCGTATAAACAAAATATGTACCTTCAGTAAACAATATCATTTTTCATTTAAGCACATCTATAAGATAACAATTTGATTTACGTATATGCTTAGCATTTAAGAACAAGAGATCTGTCTGTACATTATTCCAGTTTTGAATTGAGTAACCTCACAATGAAGGGTAGTGCGCTCTTTCTGTAGCGTATTATGCTTTTGTGGTATAGGCCTTCACTTCGCATTATACCTACCCGTTATACTAGGACGAAACCATTTGGGGTCCCGTCTAACCCATTTTGTTTCATAAAGAGTATATCATGGGAATCAATTATAATTTTGTTATGAATAATCAGGCCCAAGTCCGAGAAAGGGAAATTGATGGTGTTTCAACACACACGATCGCCAAGACTTTCGAGAAAAGAAAAAAAACCTAGGGCAATTTCAATAGCTTTGTTCATCTCCTATTTAAACTTGAAACTATAGTTCAGGATTATTTATTTCCATATTTTTAAAGAAATGTGAATGTTTTACAAAAAAATGTTACATGCTTTGTTATGGAAATGAATGGAAATAATCAATCAATATTTGTAGATACTTTTTACCCTTTATGTTGCATCTACTGCGTTAGCCTGTAAACCTTTTCTAACATTGCCTTACTACCATATTTCTAACGGTAACAATGAAATGGGATCAAGGCAACAACTCATATTAGTTTCCACTCCCTTAAAATAAATTTATTACATCTGTCATGAATTCATAAACCCGCATAGCCAGACTCACATTATCACAATCATCGACATTTTTCGTTAATCTATGCAAATTGAAGAAAAAAAAAGAAGATATTTCGATATGTCTTGTTGAGGGTAAATATAATCATGAATTCAGCTCGTAAGGGGCGACGATACTTCTAACGGTAGCAATGAAATGGGATCAAGGCAACAACTCATAATATTAGTTTCCACTTCCTTGAAATAAATCTATTACATCCGTCATGAATTCATTCACCCGCATAGCCAGACTCACACATTATCACAATCATCGACATTTTTCGTTAATTTATGCCAATTGAAGAAAAAAATGCCGTTGTATGATGCAATATGAGACGGCTGTATATAAAGCATATAGTGTAGACCATTCTCACGCCACAGGATTAATTGCAGCATATATGCCAGGATGGTAGATATATATATATATATTAATTTAGCATCAACATGCAGACATAAACTATGGCGGCCTACGTACTGTCCATACAATATAGACGCCGGTCGGTTGCTTTTGCGACATAGGTCATTGGGCAAGCACAATACTATCTCACACCACACATCGAACAGCGCTATTCACGATGAAGTGTGACGTCGTATGGTATGGAAACTCAGTGCTATAGTGATCTGGTTCATAACACTAGGAACAGAGCACTATAACACTGAGTCCCCATATCCATAAGACATATATTTATTCAGATGGTCATATCTCAGCCAATACTTGTCATATTCAATTGGTTTTCGACATTCGGACATTATTTTTGACGCGCTTTTGGAAAATGAAGAAAAAATGAGAAATTCTAAAACTAGATTGTTATTTCATAGCTTCGATCGGTACTCGATCTATTTATTATGATATGTTATATTGATATGTTTTGTTGCGGGTATCTACAGTGATGATGTACAGCAGTATCAGTAACAGTATGTCAACATGGCTACTCGCCCTATATATACCTTATTGTAAATCTTCGAATCACATTTATACCGCAATCTGAGGATATTTTCAAACTTCCATGAAATTATTATCGTAGTGATAAAGAATGCATATTCGTGATCGGTATGTACAAGGCCTAAGTATATTATATGGCATGCACTATGTAGGTGCATAAAAACGATGACTCATTTTTTGCATCATAATATACTCAAGTAAAATTGAACCGTTTATAGTGTAGACTTTTCATTTCATTTCATTTAAACACTGTTAAAGCCATGTAGTTCGGTTTTATAGCTGGATTAAACCATCATTAGGCCGAGTGCCATTTTGAAGTTAAGATCGAGTATGTCTCTTCTCGCTATAGCTGTGGTGCATTCCCGGGAGATGACTCAATTCCTTCTATACACACTAGTGCTTCTTTCGAATCGGATAGACTTAAACAGTTACATGTATACACCTATAATCTTCGTGAAAAGCATTCCCAGACAAGTGGTTTTTTTCAGTGGTGCTATCTGTAAACCAGACACAATGCGCTTAACCATTCAACGAAAAAATAATCGATTTCACACATTACCTGCTATATATGATCCCGTTTGCATCAGACGATCACTATAAAACTCAATGGCGACCAATGTTTAGAATCATCCAACGTTATCCTTTTTCTTCTTAGATGAATTGGACGTTGGATTATTGGACGTCCATGTCGTGAAGGAGCAGCTGAGCTATCGATCGCTTTATCTCCTTTCTGAAAATAACCCGTCCTGGATTTCGATCACGAGCGCGCGCATGAAAGGCTGGGCTCGCCGTTTAAGACGACGGGAGTGCTATGCTAAATCCTTGACGTACGAAAGCGAATGGACTGCATTCAAGTTGGCGGGGAGTCGCTTTCTCCGAATGCGTTGGTGCGGTACTTACATTTACTGCAAATAGTCTGGCGTCGCTGCAGATTATGTGCGCGGGGAGGTGTTATAGAAATTCTTCCAAACCGACACAAATCATTTTACAAGGCATTACAAACAATAATATCATGCAGATATCAATTTCAATGATTTACATAATCATATCCGAGAGTGCACTGGTATATATTGGCTCTCAAACGAGAGGTTCCGGGCTAGATCATCGCTCGATCTGTGCTTACATTGTGTATCCGTGACCCCGCCTATTATTATAGTTATAAGGCATTAAAGATTTCGATATCATTTTACTTATGAGAAATATGCCAAAAACTGAGGGGAAAAATGACTTCGATGTTATGCAAAGAGACTTACCAACATTATCATTATTCAATGGTTCTTTTTTTCTCTCATTATGTTATTTATTCGACATTAGAGAGATAAAATACAATGAAGACATGTGTAGCGTCAGAAATGAACTTAGAAACATTAAAATTACAAATTAATTAACCACATACACATGTACAATATTTCCAAAACAGTATTCATATACTGTGCGTGTTATAGTGTAGGCATTAATGTATGTACATTGTACATGTATCAGTCAGAATTAACATTCCTCAATGCCTGACCCTTTTGACCTACAAGGACATTAGCTGACCGAAAGGGGCATGAGTCCCAATACATGTAACACCACCACTAGCCAGAACAGGAAGTGGTCACTACGTTTTGAGCCAACAGAGCATAAGCAACGGTAGTCTGAAAATACTATCAAAATGTTATTCATTTAATAAATTTAAGTGTTGTATCTATAACTTTTCTGTGTAGTGCTTTGTATTTAGGCATAAAAAAGTGGAATATATATTCCAAACGGTAATAGCAAATCGGTCGATTTTATTCAAAGAACATACATTGTTTTATAGCTGAATTAATATATTGACCTTGAGAGGGAGCTATACAACATAAAGAGTTTATTATTTACAATTTCATCACTTTAGACTCGATTTCAACCGCTACAACGATCACTGAATATTGTAGGATCGCAAATGCTTCCAATATGTTCATTTGAACCAAATTCATGACCCCATACCAAAACTTTGTATTACCTTTAAAGAAGTTTGTGAGAGAAACACGGGAAACAGACGTACTATCATTTATATCTATATAACTCCTTTGTTCTTCCTAGTACTTTGTGATTTAGATATATTTTATCCCATGTTCCTGTGTTTAAATTACTTGTAAAATAATAAGCACTATATATTTGTGATCATGCTTGTTATAAGCAATTCATTCATGTAAATTGTTTCATGTCATTACTGGCCTATACTGGAGAGGTGTTTACGCCCGACTTAAATTGCCTGATTATTCTTTGATTAATTAACTTAGCATCTAAATGAACGAACTGTAATACTACGTTTTTCATTTGTCCTATTACAGTTAAACCATCCTCACCGGCCATCATTGAGGTGCGCCAATCGTCGTAGAGCAAAGGGCTTATAAGAATTAAAAGACATAAATGCGGATATTGGCTGTGGTTTGTTTATTCGTGACGTCGCGTGACGTCGCGAGAGTGAGAGCGGATGCGTTTGACATCGTTTGACAATAGGGACTAAAGTCTTTTAGATTTGCACGAAGACAATGTGGATTGCTACGGTCGACGTCCTTTTAATGCACTGCCTTGAATGGACGTCACAGTATCAGTCCACGCAAATCTAAAAGTCCCTACTAACCTAATGTAGTTTATGCTACTACACATGAAATATGAAGTATAAACGTATTATTATGCTTCCCAGAGAGTGCATGGAACTGTAGATGGGGAAAACTGGAATTCATGGACAGAAAAATAAATCTTTTAAAAGGGTTTGAATTTACTTCAATCAATTCAATTCCATTCATTTTTCAAGTTATTCATTGCATAAGATCATATGGAAATGCGTAGGGTTTAGAACATTTTTGATAGTGGATGCAAAAGTGTAACGCTAACATTCTTTAAACTTCGTCTGAAGTGAAAGCATCGAAAACCTCAGAATAGAGCCCTAAAATCATCGCTGTAATAAACAAAAATTAAGAAAACGGATTGATGGTTATTCTGAAGTTATCATACTCATAGCCAAATATACAACAAAATGGCAGCTCATTTGCCAACCGATGACAACATGACTACATTTTACCTTCCGAATGAGATGTGTTCTTTCCTAAACCCACGAATTAAGTTCCTGATTATATAACTAATAAATAATTCATGATCTTGGTTACCACAATGCCAATGAATGGCAAAAAAGGTGACTTTTAAAGATAAAGTTTCGTGGTTATTTTCCCACATTTTAAACAGTTCCGACTGATTCTTACTGATCGTAGATCGAGGTGTCGTAGTCGAATGGATTGAGTGTTTGCATTTAATTTGATTTCATTTCTTTTTATTTATTTCCCCAATAACAGCATTTAAAAAAAATACAAAGCTTTAGTTTTCCAAAGTCATTCCATTTCAAGAAGTAAAATAGTACCAAACGAGAAATATACATAATATGATACGTGTAATGCAGTAACAGTAAACAATTGAGACTAAGAAGATAACAGCTTGCTGTATTGAGGAGGAAACCTAGGAAAGCATATCTCGTAATTGCCATCATCGAAATGCAAAGGTCGTGGGTTTCCCGACAAGGCGTCCCCCCCCCCCCCGCCCCTTTCCCGTTAAAAAGCACCTTCTTATAATATCATCCCCTTTCTTTCGTTTCCCCATATCAGTATTTTCCTTTTCCGCCTTTTCTCTCCTCTCTCCTTTTCTCTCTTCACTCTTTTCTTCTTCTTTCTCTCTTACTTTTTCTTTCTTCCCCCCCCCCCTCCTTTTTCTTTTCCCTCCCTTTTCTCCTTTTCTCCATTTTTCGTTTCCCCCTCAGCCCCCTTTTTTTTACCGGGGGAGGGGGAGGCACGTGACCGCTGCCCCCCCCCCTGAATCCGTTACTGATTATTACACAGTCACTACAAATGCAGGCATCATTGTAAGGGAGAATAAACAGGCTTTTCAAGTATACCAACGAGAGAGATATCAACGCTCAAACTTGAATTGCAGAACCTTTTTTTTCTTGTTCAGGAGTTATTAGTCGCGTGAGCTAAGACGCGTGAGCTAATCACGTTGTTTGCTATGTGTATAAACATCATGCTTATTGCAACGTTTAAGAATTGCGTTTACACCGATTTTTGTAGATCATGCAGGGAGTTGAAATGAGGTTTTTTTTTTCGTGTTAACAAAGACCGTTATATGAAAATACGTGTATCACAATTTAATGATCTGATCTGGAGATACTTGAAAGTTGATTGAAAATAAAACCGTCTGATCATATTTTCCCAAAATAAACCAACTCGATATAAATCAATAGGCCATTTTCGTAATGTAACCAAATTTAATACATAGGTCTTTGTGAAGTGCCTCAATAGAAATTATTTCATTCACCTGATAAGAATAATAGTATTTCAATAGTCAGAATGCAAACTGCATATATTAAGTGTTGCTAGGTAGGTCAAACCATAATGTTTATCCTAAGGCGGGCCCCTGCATGCTTGCCTGACCGTTCTAAAATGCCTAAAACCCCTGAGCTTCTGGGGGCTCCGCCTCCTAGACCCCACACAAATACGTGACCTGCCGGTGTCACAAATAAGGTATACAAATATGAATATCTGACGATAATTTAATGTATAAGAACCCTGAGATTCTGGGGTTTACGCCACTTGGAGCCAACACCAATTTGTGTCCTGCCAGTGTCACAAATAAGGTTCCAAAATATGCTCATCTAACCGTAATTTATTGCCCAAAACCCCTGAGCTTCCGGGGGCTTCGCCTTTTGACCCCACCTCAATTCATGACCTGCTAGTGTCACAAATAAGGTATCAACTAATGCTCATCTGACGGTAACTTAATGTATAAGACCCCTAAGCTTCTTGGGGCTCCGCCCCCTGGACTTCACACCAATTTGTGCCCTACCAGTGTCAAAAATTAATAAGGTATCAGAGTATGCTCATCTGACAGTAATTAAATGCCTCTACCCCCTGATCTTCTGGGGGCTCCACCCCTTGACCCCCACCGAGAAACGTTCAGCATGTAAGAGTAGGGTGATGGGGATTTTTTTTGTCCACCCCCCCCCCCCCTCCTCCCTCCAAACGTTTTTGCCACTGCCGGTGTCACCGTTCCGTACCAATATTTGGCTCGCATAATTTCAAATTTGCCCCCCCCCCTAAGAAATCCTTGATCCGCGCCTGATACCACTACTACTAGGCCTACTACTACATGTACTACTACACTAATGACTGCTATTGAGTGTTATGTTGACGTCGCTGATGAAAATAATAATAATAATCATCATCTTTATAATCATCATACAAATCTATATCCGATCCCCTTAAGTCGTATACCATGATCCCGCCCCCCCCCCCCCCCACTCAGGGGTCGGATTGACCGCATGCGTGTTGCCAAAATGTCCGATAAAGGGGTACTTTTCGTGCGACAAAGTCCGGCCCGAGAATTGTAAAAAAAAAAAGGGTTGTATTTGACTTTTCACCCGGAGATTTCTTTAAAAAGGGGGTGTTTTTCCTTTTTTCCTCTCATCTCTTTGGACTCCTGAGAAGTTATTCCGAATTTAGGGGGGGGGGCACATTGAGCATTTTTCCTGATTTAGGGGGGGGGGGGTCTCCAAGGCAGGAAAAGCCCGCGAAAAGCCCGCGAAAGGGGGGTTCGGAAATTTTCCCATTTCACTGCAGACACCTTGTTCCACTCGATAGGCTTACTGGTTAATGTCTTGTGATATCAGCTTGTAAACGTGTTTTCTGTTCCCTCCCGTAAAAGAAAAAAAACCTGACGACATTTCACGTTTATTGATTATATTGTCTCAAAAACAACGAAAACATACCCTTACAAAAAACCTCAAGCACAAATTTACAATTTCTTGCCTTTTCTTCTTTAAATCACAGCGATGGCGAGGAGACGTTAGCAGGAGGTAACATCCGCTTTACAACGATTTAGATCGTCACGTCTGTCTGACTG